TTGTTATTTCCATATTTTTCTCACCATGCAGAATGCATATTGTTCATACAGTTGAACATTTATGTTTTTGCAGCCTTTGTACAACTGGTGTGGTGCGACTACATATTAACAACTGGCTTGAAGTGAGCTTCTGTTTACCACACAAGATCCACAGGATTGGTGGTAACTATATCCCCCCGGAGGCATTAGAGCGCAGCCTTAAGGCTATAAGGTGTGTTTTTACCTTCATGTGTACGGTGTATATATATATATATGTATGTGTTAAATATAACATTTTGTTTGTGGGTTGAAACGTTTAAAATTACACTTTTGGCAACACCCCAATCAGCAGTTGTTGACTGTGAAAGATACTTGGCAGCCCTTTCAAAGCATAAACACATGAAGGGAGTGTTATCCCAAGTGTTATTACAGATATAAAAAATGTATACAGTATTTAAAATTATATTCAGATATTGCATATAAATATTACATAAAACAATATAAAATTGCTTATAAATCTTAATTTACTATGTAAGAAATGTATAACATTTACTATTAGTTAATATAGTTTCCTTCTTTTCTGCCCCCAAATACAACATCTGACAAACTTTTGACCACCTCCTATTTACCCTAATTTATAGTGTTCATTTATACTTCATTTAATTGTGAATGGAATCTAAAAGCAGCATAGTGTTAATGTGTTAATCTGACTTGGCAAGTCATGCAAAACTGCAAATGATAGGTAGGATGTCATATATCATCCACCTGGTTGAGGAAAAATAGCACACATACGCTTTTATTTACTCAACCAGCCTGCATAGGCATACAGTATACATGACTATTAAGTAGCACAGGATTGTCACAGTGCTATTCAATCTGTGTTGTTAGGTTCATTGTTGACCCACAGGTTAACAAGAGGCCTAAAAACTGACAGTCTTTAACAGTATTATATTGTGAGTATTATGTCTTTAACAGCTGATTAAGGGCTGTGTATTTTGTAAACTTCAGTACTGAGTCACTATTTAAAACATCAAGAAACCCTGAAATTGTTTTTGTGGGCCATACTGCCCCCTATTGTCACCTCAGTATACCTACATAAGAGTTGTGATCAACCTCTACCTCTCCTTTAATTTCTGTCTTTTGAAGATAAACAAAATATGCAAAGGGTCATGTAAGTCATGAAATTGTAACAGCTGTGCTGATAATTATTTTTTAATAATCAGAGTGGTTTGTGTTCTCAGAGACACACAGTTCTGTACATGGATACATGTATAGATGGTTCTGTTTTACAGGGTGGTACTAAGGCTGATTCCTTCTGGTGTCTATTGTAGAGGCAGTTTTGATCTCTAAAGATGAGTTTTGTTGATTTCAAGGCTGAAACATATGTTGTTTGATCCTCCAGACCTTATCATTCCCTACTGCTACTGGAAAGTGAGAAGGCACTGCTGAGCCAGCTTCCTTTGGACTGCTCGCCTGCGATGGTGCGCCTCATCAAAACCTGCTCAGCGGTGAAAAACCTGCAGCAACTCGCACAGGATGCTGACCTGGCCTTACTTCAGGTGCAGAACAGTCACATCGCCTGAATCACCAATGCACTTTACAACACCTGATGCCATTCTTTGAACTTGAAAGGCAAATTGGAAGTACTTTTTCATTATTAAACAAATTAATTCACAAGTGGATGTAATGATTAAGCTAATTTCAGCCATCAGTAATAAAGAGTTTGGTGATTGTATTGGACTTTTGTAATTCAAATACAGTACACAAATGTAAGTTAGGGAAGTAAAAGTGTATTCAGACGTTACTGTGTTAATGCGGTCTCACTGCCATCTAGTGGACAATATTTGTACATTCAAAGCAAATCTGAGACTACACAAGTCTGAGTAGTATAGGATGTTCTTATATCTTCCTTCTACTGTTGGTTTTCAATTCCAAAACACTTTATTGTTTGATTGGTTTTTTTTCACATAATTTATATTATTTGCAAATCATTTTCCTCTTAGATATTTCAAATTGCTGCTCACTTGGTTTACTGGGGCAAAGCGATCATCATCTATCCACTGTGTGAGAACAACGTCTACATGCTGTCTCCTCATGCTAACATCTGCCTGTGAGTATTCCTGATATGACATGAGACATTTGGCTGTACTGATTACTTCAGAGCTAATGAGCCATAATATTGCAGAGCACCCATCCATGTCATTGCTTCATACACAGTAGGTAAAAAAATATTAAATTCAGATTTCCAAAGCCTGTACTTGTTCAGAGTTCATTCCTAAAAAATCTTGGATTGGATTGGACCATTGGATTGGGCAATTGGCAGAACTTTTCATAGCCTTTCGTTTATGACATTGTGGAAAATAAATTCAAAAAAGCTTGAAAAGTTGTTGGTTGTCAAATAATGTGTCCCATCTCTCTCTGGATAGATATTCACCATTGGCTGATCAGTTTGCCCAGCAGTTTCCTGGTCATGATCTGCCCTCCATGTTAGCCAAGTTCTCACTCCCTGTCTCACTGGCTGAGTTCAGAAATCCTCTGGAAGCTCCTGCACAGGAGGTAGGACTATCGTACAAGTACAATTTTTTTTTTTGTATTTAAATCCACTTTATTTTCTTTAGTAGTTTTTTTCTATATTGGTGAAATAATGTTATTTTTTTTTAAACAAAAAAGAGTTTTCTTATAAAAAACAAACTTGGAAACAACTTTATTTGTAGTTAGAAAAAATATATAATTTTTAGATGGAAGAATAATTGACTGTGGCATTAAGAGACATTTTTGTACAAATTAAAAGTAATCAAAATGAAATTATGGTTTTGTGGTAAATCACATATATCTATATACTATATCTATAACACAGTAATAGCCCTACGTGGCTATTACTGTAAATTTAGATACTGCATTGTAAGAGCCGAACCATCTGGTGTTCTCCTTCGGCCCATCTTGTTTTGGCAGAGCAGTTTGAGCGTCGGTGATGAATTATAAATGGCAAAAGGGACATCAGCTCTACCGTCAGCAGCCTCAATTTTTCATGAGAACTAGATCAGAGTCATGGCTCTTTCTCTTGGCTCTATTTTGGGCTTGTATGCTTCCCACAGCTGATTTAAAACATATTTGGCCTGGTTAGGGTCATGAGCGTGTTCAGCTTAACTTGTTGTTTATCCTGTGCTCAGTTGTGATGAGTTTGCTGCTGTGCTCCTCACCAGGCCCAGTTGATCCAGATGGTAGTGTGGATGCTCCAGCGCCGCCTGTTGATCCAGCTGCACACTTATGTCTGCCTGTTGGTACCGCCCAGCGAGGATGAGCCCGGGTTGAAGGATGAAGACCCACCACTGGCTGCCCGAGTTGGAGGCCGTAGTCTCAGCACCCCTAGCGCGCTCAGCTTTGGTTCGCCAAGTACGTTGTCACTCAGCTCTCTCCTCTGCCCAACTCTTAGAGGTAGAACAGGGTAAAATATAATCTGTGATCATCTGTCTGCTTCCTGTGTATAGCCAGCAGTGATGACATGACCCTCACCAGTCCCAGTATGGACAACTCCAGTGCAGAGCTATTGCCTGGTGGGGACTCTCCGCTTAACAAAAGGATGACAGAGACGCTGCTTGCCAGCCTGTCCGAGCATGAGAGGCAGGTTATTCTTAACATCCCTGCTGCACAAAATCCAGAGGATCTGCGGATGTTTGCCAGGTAATCAAGCTTGCCTAAAACAGAAGCTTAGTGCATATTCTGATTTTTTTTGTTAGTGCATTTAACATTTCCTAGCTCTATATTGACATGAAATTATGCAGAATAAACTGGCCTGTGCATCATTTCATAAACTATTTTTTAAAAATAAATTTCATGAAAAAAGCATGCACGTACACACAACCCAAACAAAAAATATGTTTGTGGGACTTGTTTATGGTTTTGCTGCATTTTCAAGTGAGATGATGGCATGACAAAGTGTGACTTGAAATGAACAAAAATCCCTAAAGGCGACTTAACAGCTGCGATACATTTTAGTGCCTCATGATGTTATAAATCAAGTCTCTTAGGAAATAAGAAGATATTTGTGCTTTGGTTTGGAAAATGAAGTCATTTTAATTGCATTCACAGAATATTGGGAAATTTAATTGAAGAATTATCTGGAGACTTCTTGGAGACAAGATTTTGCCAGCTGTTAGTTGCACACATTGAAAATAGAAAATAAATAGAAAGCGTATCTGGTAATCAGTGATGTGTGCTACCTAATGCACATTAATGAAAAATGTTATCAGAGTTGCAAAAGACCTGCCTGATGGTTGGTTTACACAGCTAATGACAACCCTAATGATTCTGTGAAACTCTAGCTCTCAACCCATTTTTCTTCTGTTATGTTGACTGCTTCCAGGCTGCTTCACTATTTCCGGGGACATCACCACCTGGAAGAGATTATGTACAATGAGAACATGAGGCGCTCGCAGCTCAAGACACTGTTTGACAAGTTCCGCAGTGTCCTAGTGGTGACCAACCATGAGGATCCCATTATTTCAATCTTTCAGTCACCCATGGAGTAGTGGCACAGAGACACTATCAGCTCTCACCAACTGGAAAAGATGTCAGTTTGAGAGCAGTTAATAGCTTGCTGTGCTATTGCTCAACAACGTTCTTTTTAAATGAACTGATGCAATGATTGCATTCATGTGTGCAGATTTACAAAATGTTTTTTTTCTTTGACGAGCCAATGTTTGTTTACAATATTAAATTATTTTGTACATACCAGAAATCGCTTGAAGTGTTCACTCTGTATATTGCAAAGATTGGTGCAGTGGGGGTTTAACTTCATCTTCACCTGTCCCAGATGTGTTAGATCATCTGTACTGACCACAGAGGGGCACACAGAGTAATGATTATTCCAGACCTCCAGCTACCTCTCCTCAGGAATCCCAGAGGTGGGAAGAGAAAGACGGCAAGAAAGGGAAGACTAAACATCAGACAGGCGGTTTTTGCTTTGGTGGAAGCAAAGCATGCCAAACATCTGTGAAATCACTGAGTCACTCAAAAGAAAATTTCTCAAGTATGAATGTTTATTAAAAAAACACAGATGGCAGACCTAAACAAAAAAAACAACTCATAAGTGAGTAATGGTAGATTTCAGAACTGATTTTTTGATAGGCACTGATAAATTGAGTCTTACTCTAACTGACTTAAGTTCCATTACTTTCCAGTACAACTTTGCATCAGTATCCTAAACACACCGTCAACATGAGTAGCAGCTTACAAATGGATGAGAAACATGTATAATTTATGCTGATTAGAATTTAGACTTCCAGCCAATCACAGAGGTTATTCTACCATCTTGAATTTCTAAGAACTACATTATTAATGGATTTATTTAAAAAAAATATTAATTTCATATTCATAAGAATTAGTGTAAACTTTGCAAAGCAAACAAAACAGTTTTATACTGCCTAAACAGTGAAGTCCACAAAGGGAACAGATGGCAGATTAGTTGCAGGAATATTCCTGTTAAGTCCTTTTGACATTGTGCTGTCCTGTGTCGGACTGCTCATCTGAGGGACCTAAATCGTTCATTACATTTCCCGACAGAGTCTGTCTTTCTGCCTCTTTATTCACTACGCTAACACAGGGGTGCCCACGAAGATAAAACCGCCATGGCTTCCTGGCCCATTCCCCATGAGACTCAATTCCAATGCGCGGTGCTGATACTATATTGTGGGGTTCTGCTGGATTTGTGTTCGGGTCTCTCTCCAGCCACACCTCTGGGTCTGAAGCTAGGTCTCGACGGTCAAAATAGCGGGGTATATCTAAAGCCTGGCACAGCTTCGAAGGCCCGTTGCAGAGCTCTTTGTCCTTCAGTTGTCGGGCTCCCTCCTTGCGTCTAGCTGCCCTCAGCTGCCTCATGACGGGCTGACCCTGCAGGGGCTCAAGGGAGCGCAGCAGCACGGCAGCACCCTCCCCTGTGAAAAACAGCACACAATATGCATCAGTCAGCAAGGCTCCACTCTGTCTCCTTCCTTTTGCCCTTTACTCAGTGACAAAAGAAAACACCACTGTATAGATTAAATGTTATATTAATGACAAATACTTGGAGGAGGGATTTTTCTGTTTGCATGCATCAGTAGGCAAAATGGCAATCATAATGAATACCTTTGGTGAGTAATACTTTTACCTTCACTAGATACATTCATACAGAGGTAGATGCCATAGATGGGATACACATAGATTGTACCAGGCTTCATGAACATGGCTGTGTTCCTCTCAGTGCGTTTGCCCCCTGCTGAGTGTGAGGCCTTGTCCTCCCCACCAAGGTAAGCTTCAGTTTCCACTATTCTCCCTCGCAGCTCGGTGCCATCTGCACACCTGCGGACCAACACCTGCAGGGACAAAGAACAAGACTGATTATGTTTTATTATGATAAACCAATTAATTTAGTAGTCAATCAACAGACAATTTTAATAATCGATAATGCCAAAATGGCAAAAAGATACTATTTTGATTATTGACCCAGACCAAACATTTGAACCATGGACTCTGGAAACGTATAATAGTATTATTTCACATTTTGCTTAATAGACCATACGATTAACTGGTTATTAATGACAATAATCTTTAGTTGCAGCTCTACATTTAAGGGTAGTAGTCTGGATGCATTTTATTGTGGTTTTGGATTTATCAAGACCATGTAGGTTGAACTAAGTCTGTAGCTGAGTGTAATAAACTAAAATACTAAGTGTTACAATGAAGGATCGAGTAGACTTAAGTAACAGGTTACTTAATGAAACTTACATGAAATGTAAAGGGGCAAGACTTTCAGATAAATCCTTGTAGCTTTTACAGATAAAGGTGTTGACAGACTGGACAAAAGCTTTCGTGAATACTATTATCGTTATCGGACATTTGAGCTCTAACATTACTGACATACATTTTATTTCGAGCATATCCCCTCTACAAAGCTGGCTCTCAGAAATCATTCCCACAGAATACATGGATGTCAAATTAAGGTGAAATGGCAGCATTACCTTGCCGAGGAATGCTTTAGACAAACTGAGGCAAGATTGGTTGAAAAACTCTTCTCCCAGTCTATGTTGCTGGTTATTCTTGGTGAAATATTGGCTTCGCTCCGTCTCAGCATTCAGTTTCAAATCAGTCCTGTTTTTGTGTTTATTTACAGTTTGTTCAGGTGCTGCTGCTGCTAGCATCTTTCTTTTCCTTCCTGCCATAACGTTACCGCGAAACACGTGGTCAAAATTAAAAACACCTTTATGATACCGTCACTGCGTCCTTCATAATGTCAGCAACACCTTCATTTAACGCTAAATTTACAAGGCATTTACTTGAGTCTAGCTGGTATCATGGACATATATACATGGCTAGTATATTTACGCTGGTGCTAACATACAGGAAGTAAATTCTTAAAGGGACCGCGCCCCATTTCGGGCTCACTGAGTATTATGTTGCGATTTAATGTTTCCTCCTCGGGTTGTCTGTCCCAGGCTGTGAGAAAAAATGTCTATTTTAGGTTTTTTCCCTACTAAATTGAAAAAATTCCTGCTACACATAACAGCCACATTTTACATATATGTCTGTGGGTAAACCCCCTCTGGACAGTGTGGCCTTTTCCCATTGCTGTCTTATCTTTTCAGCCTCATTTGAAAACAGGCCACCATAATAAGAGGTTATAAATAGAGCTGGAGTGATCATGCTTGCCTGTGCCCAGGAAGTGGATGGCGCCAGTTTGGCCCCAGGCACTGTGGGTCCATGTGGCTTTCTGGAAGACTAACAGTATGTGACATGGTGCCACACGCTACAACGTTATCAGGAAAGTACAAGTTTGCAGTACTGGAAGCTCTGCTGAGCCTAAAGCTCTTGACTGCATGCATTGACTGATATAAGAATGGACGTATAGATGGGTAAATGTACAGAGGGTGAATGGATATATATTTAAAATATTTAATGTGATGTTATGTTTGAAATAGATTGATTTCTTATGTCATTTGAATTATTGAAGCAATAATAAATAAATTACAATAAATATGGTTTTGAGATGTATTACTAACAGATGACAGAGATTTTGCTTTGTGTACACTTAAACATGTATCTGCAAGTAAACTAACTACAGCTATTGGTGAAGTAAAGGTTCATCATTCTGCAGTTATTTATACCTATGCATTTTGCACCACTGGTACATTGAAGGGGCCCCCTTTTTCTCTTCCAGCCATTTTGAGCTGCATTTGAGACTTTTTTGCTGGTGACTGGCCATTTTAATCTCTGCATCTTGTGCAGTCTGGGTCTGCTGGGAGATGGCTTCATTCCCCACATTGCAGAAAACAAACATGACGGCCCTCTTCATTTGTACTGTCAGTTTCTGCTGCAGCAGGTTGCCTGTCTTCAAAGTATGGGCATGTTCTTTATTCTGATGTTCAACAGCTGGAGTTCTCCCTGCTGGACTCAACTTTAGTAGGGTTCTTCTACAGAGTCTCTTGAGCTTTCTTCAGCTGCCAAATGAGCTCTGATACAACCCTCTCATTAGTCTGGAAAACCTTTGTGCTTTGACTGGGTGCCTTTTCCTGTCCCCTGCAGCTGGATTGGAGCTTTGCTGCTGCAGCTTCTAGTTCACCTCCTCTACAGTAATCATGTCTGGAAAAACTAGTCATTAAAGTTTAACCCTATAAGAATTAGATGGTCCACTAACAGCACACACACACAAATGGCATCTCATTTCCACTTTTAATTCTCTGAAATATTATTCTGATTTCTTATGTAATGTTTGCTTTGTAAAGTATTACATTTAGTTACAGTCTTTATTCATACATCTTGAAGAGGTACAGAAACACAGATAGCAATATTACTAAAAAAAAAATCTCCCCCCACAGAGGCCTCTCTCCTTTGGTCAGTCAGATCTTTGGAGAGGTGCCAGAGAGTGCAGCATGCGTGTGAAGTGCTGCCTTATGTGTGTGTGTGTGTGTGTGTGTGTGTGTGTGTGTGTGTGTGTGGCATTGCAGAAATAGGTGAAGGGCACACATAACTGGGTAAGTTGATATACTGCAGCTACATAAAACGTGCCATAAAAATTCCCATTTCAAATATTTGCATGGCTAGTTATTGGATGTCATTGCCCTCTCTTATTGCATGCTTTTCAGATTAAAATTCCTAAATCATAAGACAAAATTAATATATATACTTTTAAATACTTTCAATATTTTTTATGTTATTGCTTATTCACAATTAGGCACCAGGCTACAGCAGGATCAGAGCAGTTGTATTTCTAATGGAACCAGTTGTGCAGTAACTATGCACATAAAGACCTGGGCTGACTTATTGAGCCAGGATATGATCCAGACAGAAATCTGCTGAGCATGTTCAGTAGAACAGTCCTGGCATGGCTTGTTGACTTTGTCATGGCTGGTGGACCAGTGAGGGCCATTGTTTGCTTTGACTGTGTTTCCACTGCCCGTTAGCAGTGATGGTGAGGTCTGGGCTGGGCAGCTTTCATTGTTGCTGCCACTGATAATCTTAGCAGTCACAGCTTGGCTGTAGCATTGCGTTCTGGATCACTTTCAACTCTAGCACTCACTGCAGTTATAGTGACGCTGAGCTGGGACGCCAGAGACTCATCTGTGTGTGCAGATGGATGAGCAGAATGTAGGCAGACTGAAAATATCTTACTACACCATGAGTCAGAGAATCCTGTGAAGAATAAGGGTTGATCTGCTGGGTATAAAATTCATTGTGCAGTGTTTGGAAAGGACGTAACTCCTAATATTTGTTTCTGGTTGAAGTTATGATTCTTTTAATTAGTGAGTGAGTAAATCTGTAAATATATATTTGTGTTCTGTATATAGTTTCAATTCCGAGACACACTGGCATTGCTATCTTTGGTTTATATCTGGCTGTATGAAAACATTTCATCAAACACATGACTAAAATGGACCGACCAAAATAATATCGCCATTTTATCCTTCCATGTTTATGATATCTTAGATTTCAATTCTAGTGCAAAAGTCAAAATGCTTCCTCTTAGTAAATTAAATCAAACACTTGAAAACAGAAAATGTCATAAATGTATTTATTTTTTAAAAATCATTACTTGTTTACTTTATCTTTGATGATTTCTTTATAGGTGACAAACCCTTAACTGTTTTCAAACTAATGGTTACATGCATCACTGTGGCATGAATGTCATCTTTTGTCACATTTCGCATATAAACAAATAGAGTAGTAGTGATAGTGTTTCTGCAGAAGATTCTGTATTGCAGTCATAACTGTGTGAGACTGTGGCATCTCTTTTATATGAGAGTCATGATTTAAAAAAGAATCTCTTAGGTGTTCCCTGTTGTAAATAAACACATGCAGCAACTATTACTGGCAATGTGTCATAGCTTTTGAGCTGCTGAGATAACCCCTCGTTTTACACTGTGTTTAAATTTGTATTGCTTACATGACATCATCATATTTATAACATATTTTAGTGTTTGCAGTCCTCATTCCATTACAAGGTGTGGCAGTAGATTGTCTTATTGTTTTATATGAGTCTATATATGAGTCTTATTGTCATATGATAGTCCAAATGGTCTTTCAGATGCCTTTTCACCATGAACTGCTGCATTCTTTTTATATCTTATATCATTATCTTCTTTTATCTTTTCTTCTATGGACAACATGTCCAAAAAAGCTAAAAAAAAGCTAAAAATACATTAATATAAAGATCAGCTTTCAGTGGGTAACTTCAACAAACACAGCCTCCATCATGGCTTCCACAAAACCCTTCCAGTAACATTAAACAGCTTTCATTTTTGTGACAAGTCCTTCGCACCAAGCCAATGAGTGGCAGAGGCTGGTATCATCTGCATCCTGTGTGTTTGATGTGATTCATTATTAATTGATGACAATTAATGATTCATGAGTCTCTTTTCTTGCTGCAGCCATGGGTGTGTGCTGCACAGGTGGGAAGGGGAAGCAGGAGGATTACTCCATGTGAGACTCAGTTCACACACCTGCACAACAGACAAACAGGGTTGTCTTTTTCCACATCTGGGATCTCATGCTCACAGGTTTTAACAGATCCACTGGTATAAACACAGGTTAGGGAATACCATGCATGCATGTATCCACTATATGTCTGTGTTTTTTTGTATTTGTCTAGACCACATTAATTTATTTTTGTTCTGCATTATAGAATAGGAGTGATGCATTAGTTAAGTAGACAGTTGTGTTCAGATACTTTGGTCTCTGTTCAGAAGACGCACTGTGAGGAACAGAAATAACTCAATCTACTTTTTAAACCTACCAAGTACAATAAATAAACCAACCGTAGTTTTTATTCTATATTTTATTACAAAGCATAAATGAGAGCATCAATAACAGTGTGAGGGCTGTTTTAGTAGATAATTAAAAGACAAAAACTCAGCCTTCCAGCTGTTTGGTTTATTGATTGAGCCTGTACTAAAATCTCCAGCCCCCTGACCTTTTGCTGTGTACACTGATAACGGTTTCCTTGTCTTGGCTCACACCTGTGGCTGTCTCAGAGAGAGTTGAGTCAGGCAGGCCGGTGAGGAGGGAAGGCTTTCTACAGGATCTTACTGATCTTATCACAAAAACAAGAATATAAATATGCTCAACACGACCACACAGTGGAAGTGTTTCTGCTCTGTTGGATTTCTTTAACACCTTCCTTCTGCTGTAGCATTTTCCAGCAGTACTATTAGATTGTCTTTTGCAAGTAATGCACAGTATGTGATCTATTATTGAATGAAAACCAGCATTCAGTCGATTTCAGATTTACCCAGTTACTGATTGTGTGATCAGTGCTATTTACAAACAAACCATAAGTAAACTTCCTATTTCATTGTGGAATAAAATGTATTTACTCTAGGCAAACAAAGCTCTAAAATGCCAGTCATTCTAAATGAATAGACTGACAATTCTTAAATCAATAAACTTAAAACACCCTTAAAAAGTCACATTCTTGTAAATAGTATTTGGACTCTTTTGAATATAGTTATTTGGTGTTGTAAATCATGTCACCTATGTACGAGCTAAAGCCTCCCTGAGATAGTCTCCCCTTCACTTCTCTGCTTGGTTGAAGAAAGAGGAAACCGTTTATGGACTGTCTGACAATGTACTTTTGGTTAAACATTACCCTTGCACTCAACCCTTTTATCTGTGTTTGACGAATGGGGCTTCAGGGGGCCTTGAGTGCTCTTACAGGTCCTGCGTCTCTTCCTAATTGCTGCCTTTGCCCCAGCTTCAACCCTGCTCTATCCCAGGGGAAACTTCACCATTAATTACAACAACTTCATGGTATATCAATCAGAGACTCCCGGTAGGCCACTGAACGGTCCTTACAGAGCTAAGTACACGTAAAAGAGTTGATGAAGTCCAATAAACTCAATCCTGTGGTGGAAATACTATCTTTTGCCTAATTTAGGAACATGTCTTTGAATCAGCTGGATTTGCAGTGTGGCTATCAGTCATGTTGGCAGGGACGAGACCCATGGGTGCAAGACAGAGAGAGAATAAGCTCTTGCTTTACATTCTGTCAAATACATACACGTCTAGTTATGAGACATGTTTGCTGTATGTCTGCCATATATTTTGGCTTACCCTCACATATTATCTGACTTAATTCAGTCTTGATGTAGCAATTGATTAAAAAAAGGAACAGGGTGATACATTTTACTTACTGAACAGGAGGAGGGCTGCTGAGGGTGTTGAGCTGTGGAAGAGGTGTTAAAAGCATTTTTAAACCACACTCAAGACACTTATATATTTCTGTGACTAGAATTGTGTTAGCTGTAATGGAAGTATAGACAACAAATGTAAAGTTGCTGAACAGGGAGGGAAGCACAAGATTAACAATCATTTACTAAAAAAAACAGTAGGTACTGCACAGTACATAAGAACAGTTTTGACATAGTTGTACTTTACTTGAGTATTTCCATTTTATAGGCTACTTTTTACATTCACTTCACTTTACTTATTTCTTTTAATTAAACTGTTGAACAGTATAAAAATGTTTGAACTGGTTCAGCGCTGATGCACCAGGATTTTGCTGTTATTACTGTACTTTTAATCTGGACTGCAGGACTTGTAAGGGAGTATTTTTATATTGTTGTATTGCTACTTTTATTTGAGTCTTAATACTTCTTTCATTGAAAAAAACCCAAAACATTACTGGTCTGATATTTCCAGTAGATCTGTATTGAGTATAAAAGTCAGGCACTCTTATGATTCCATGTAACACAAACAAGTCATCTGCTCTGTCAGCATGAAAATTGGATCATATTATGCTATTCTTTATTTTAATAGCAGAAAAGCACTGGCTGTCATATTCAATAAAGAATGTCTTAATCGGGAAGTACATCAAAGTAACTATGAAGGAGACTTTTCCAGGAACCTAAGCCACTTGTGCCCTGAAACCTCATCTGAGGAGAACTACGTGCTTGGTGCCCCTTTTCAGCACCTCCGAAACCCTCTGCTTCCTAACATCCATCTCTCTCCTGGAGAATATTCCCAGATGGATCTGAGCTTTCACTGAAACCATGATGGAATGCACTGAAATGGTCTTTTCATTAGATAGAGCAGCAGCATGTATTACCCGATCCATTTTCTCTAATAAAAATCTTCTCTTTTATAGTACAAAGTAAAGTGATTTTGAAGTTGCCTATTGCTGCAGTCTTGTTAATAAATGTATTAATTAAATTATTTAATGTATTGAATACATTCAAATGTATAGACATTCAGTCTCACAGATAATTGCTGTGAAAATGCCTTGGACTCAGTTTCTGTAAATGGGCTCACACTTGGAAATGCCCAAGAGGTCTCTGTGTGAATGAATGATTAAGACATGGCTGCAGAATCCCATGAGCCAAGTATGGCAGGAATCTCAGCAACAATGATGTAAACATAATGGCATGACACACATTTCAATCTCATTTTTGTGTGCATTTATGGTGGGATTCAAAGGCAATTAAGATAAATAAACAATAAAGATTATTATTCTCCCTAAATGATTATGAAATGATTATTATAAAACATTGTTAAGCATCTATTCAATTTAGGGGGCCCCGCGGAGAATGTGGAGTGAATCACTGTGGATAGAGAGAGTTAAACCCCGGTTTTAGTCCCCGGACCCCACTTTGGCTGAGGATATTGCTTAGTCACCGCCGTGACCGGGAGAAGCAGCGCCTCCCTGTGTACACCGATTGGTTAGTGATCTTGACGGGCTTGCCTTCTCCACAGACCGTCTCCAGTCCAGGGCGGGGCTGACTCTCCGCCAAACTGAATTAGGCTACAACCGGCAGAAGAAAACTTACCCCGGGTCGATCCATGGAGCAGTGTGAGAATGCTGTATCCGTAGGTGGGAAGCAGGAACCGGTCGGGCAGCCACATTTCGGCCACATCACCCAGGACTGCTTCTGCTGCTGGTGTGATCAAGAGTGACCAGATTTTACCCTACGGCACCGGGCTCGGCTTAAAAACATCTGCGGTGTGGAAAAAGCGCGTTTATTCTTGCGCCGCTATCAGGATGATGTGACAAATCACTCATCTGCTTCGTGTGGAAAAAAATCTGTGAAACCGGATTTTTTTTTTCACTGCTGGAGATCATCTGAACTGCTTGTTATAAGGGTAAGTTGTGTCATTATTTCATGACTGTCTCCTGTGGTCGCCCATACGGAAGGCAGCAGCCGAAGGAAGCGCTCACGAATCGTGATCGAGGAGGGCACACGAGCTCACTTGTCGATTGAATTACTGGTCAATTTGTCGACATGGGAATCTTTCACATAGTGAACATCATTTAGGTTACAGGGTTCTGTGCCATTCACGCTGCCTTTAGTGCAGTTTCCAGTGTGAAAGTCGGCTATTTAAGGTGCTCGTAGTATAATTGTACCTTTAGGCCTAATCACCTTTTTAAAAAGTGTGAAATACCCTTCACATTCAAGAGATGCTGAAGTGGAAATAATGAGGTGTGAAATGAGCCTCGTGTCCAAAATGAGACGCAGGCTGAGAGGCTAAATTACTTTTTATTTTATTTTTATTTGGCCAAATTCAGGAGAGATTACTTTCATTTGAACCACACGAACCAATGGCTTGATGTAACATTATCTCATGTGACTGGAGCCTGCTTGGGAATAGCTTTGCCTGATTGTAATTGTGGACCAAGGAATGAACCTAAATGACCATGTTGTTGAATAATCATGCAACACATCAGGCATACAGTCACAATGACCTCACTCATCTTTGTCATCCCACTCCTCCTCCTCCCTCCTCTTCCACCTTCTCCAGTCATCATCAGCATCTCCATCATCTTCCTCAAAGACAATCATGAATGTTTATGCATGATTCTGTGAATCAAGAAATGGCAGCATCATCCATTTGCAGTGCTGAAATACAGACGTCTACACACAAATGTTAAATAATTCACAATGGGAATGTGGATGAAAAGAGCAGCAAACAGAGTTGGCTTCTCATATCATCTCCCTGTGGTCTACCCTTTTGAACCAGATAGTATTATTTATTCCTTAGATCTTTGTTTTCTTCTCTAGTGTGTGTTTCATGAAGTGCTAACACACAGTGACTCAAAGTGACTCACGGCAGACAGTCACAAATGGGCGCAAATTCCACAAAATCATACGCATGGAGGGATCACCTTAATGTCTAGATCTGACTCATCAGAGGTTGAAAGCTCCAGGACAGCAGCGCACATATTAACAAACTGAAAACTTGTTGACATAGAAAAGGTTACGCGCTCCAGTGTCTTACAATACCTGGGCAGACTCAAGTGAAACCATAGACTTACTGTATTAGAAACTGCTGAGTTATTTTGGCAGACAGGACATAGGAGCACATGGCCTGGTTTGTGTGCCTAGTGTTCCTGAAACCTTATCACATGGAAGGAGGGGGGATCATGGCTTGGGGTGATGTAATCACACCGATAAAGCAGGGCCCTGATGTGTGATAGTGGCAGTCATGCTCATCCTCTCTATCTACTCCAGCTGGACCCCAGATAGAATATTCCCAATGTGTGTGTGTGTGTGTGTGTGTGTGTGTGTGTGTGTGTGTGTGTGTGTGTGTGTGTTTGGATGTTTATGTGGGTGCATGTGGGTACGTGATACAGGGAGGGAGCTGGGAGTAGCTCCGCTGAGGCAGGTGGACCATCCAGGCTGGCCTGTGTTGACTGGCTGGTATGTGAGTTTTTCAGGGGACTGCTGAGGGGGCCACACTGTAGTCATGCCTGCATGACTCATGGCGCGGTATCTGTCTGTCTGTCAGTCTGGCCAAGTGCACAGTCCTGTATACTGCTTCATGGGGTTGCCTTCAAAAGAGCTACAGGGCAGGATTTTACACTCAGTGGTTATGTAATACCTTTATTCATTGCCATTCTTCAGTAGACATTTTTTCCCATACATCTCAGTGCATGCATCATTGTGCAATAGCACCATATAGATGTTTTACACAGGTGCCTCATCACTTCAAGATGATGCATCTAGAAGCAGGGGACAGAATCGGCTTTCTTTGTAGATTTGATGCTCTGCTGAAGAGATGACGCTGTCCTCAGTAGGGCTTCACCATTTCCCAGAAGAAGCCAATTGAAGCCTGTCTGTTTCCGAATATGGGTTTACTCTTTTCGTGATTGTTGGTCATTTTCTTTAGTCTCTGTATAGAGCTCTCTGAGTTCAGATGAAATGAGCGTCACTGTGCTGAACAGTCACATGTGTGCAGAACACATGCTTCTCTAAATAACCCCAGGCTGTTTCACTGGCAACAACCACATCTGTATCACGAGCTGAAAATTTGTTCACTTGAGAATCCTGTTTACCAGGCAACTTGAACTTTACATTATATACTGACCAGGTAGAAAATTACAGCTATGCAAAAGTTTGGCGATAAATAAAACCTTCATATACAGGAAATTAAAACCGGCATATCAGTTTATGCAGTATATCACCCAGCACTAATAGTATGGTAGTATATAACACTGTATTATCTGCTGTATTAATTTTAAATATATGTATCTCTCTAGCTGTAATAATTAATGGACATATATTTCTTCAGTCCATTAAATCAATTTGTATTGTTTAGAATAATCAGATAATTCTGAATGCTTTTCATTTTACATGTTTACATTTTGTTAAACCCTGACCTGACTCTGATCTAAAGTTTCCTAAGCAGCTTTTAAAAAAGCCCCACTGTATAATAGTATCACGTGATATTCTATATTCTGTATCTGCTGTTCATAATATTTAAACACTATGTAATGGCTTTATACAACACAGGGAATCATTATAGAAGTTCTGTGCCTCATTTTATACCCACTTTGCAAAAACTGAGCTCAAAATATTTAGTATCTTTGGAAACATTAAGGCCTTGACTCAAATTTAAAATACATTAATGTGGCAGTGCTTGTCTGCTCATCCTATGTTTGTAATGATTGGCCTACTGTTGTTTGTGAAAGCTTAATGACTTGATCTGAATGAAATATCTTTCTGAGATTGACATGTACCTGTCATCGCCGCAGGCATCTGCTTTGTGTGACAACTACTACAGTGGAGACTGTCTCCTCGGTTGATTTGTGAATGTGGGGCATGGCAGCAGTATCTGGAGAGGTCAAACATGTTAACCAACTTGTTCTGCTACTTTAGAGACAATACGCATACATTCCTGCTAAATATATTGGTTACAACTGTTCCCACAGCTGAGCTCAAACAGACATTAGCTTAAAAAGCATGTCAGGTATGGTTTTACAGGGGATGATAGGGAGAGAGCCCACAAGCAGCGTTTGATCCCATCCTCGCTCAGCTCGCACATTTTGACTTTGATGTGGTTATGGTTTTGACAAAGTTGTCAGGAGCAGAAAGAGGGATTTTTTTCAGATGTCAAATAATGTTGTATTTGTGGAAAAACAGAAACTGAGTTGTGTCTCTTGTCTGCTGTGCATTTGTAATAAGGGTTGTTAGCAAAACATGCACTGGCATTGATTTAAATTATACTGGAAGTATGGTGTTTGTTGCTTGGACAGATCATCATCCTATGGCTACTTGTTTGTCTGCCTGGTAATACAGTACACTGACTATTGCACGATCTCAGAGTGCTTCCCCTGTTGATGGCTCGGTTGTGTGACTCACAGCCGTTGCATTCAATTGTTCCCGTCCCATGACATCTTGGCAGTGGCATGATGCAGTGGTAGCCATGACGGCGAAGTCAGTTGTGATGTAATGCTGTAATGCAGCAGCAAGGCTATTTCAAGTCTACCTCTGAGCCTCCAAGGCCTCTGTCTGCCAGCATGCCACCCTGCCCTTCTCTCATTCAGCACCTCATCTGTCAGGAGCCTGACAGCCATACATGAACCAGCATTCACAGAATTTACTAGAAACCTTTGATGCACAGGTTTGGAGAAAAGTCAGAGGCACGACTAAATTGAAAGTACAGGTTACTATGAATTGTTTTCACAGTTATTTGGTTTAGACCAACATTAGGCTGCAGCAGAGATGAAAACATCTAATTTGGGGTTGGTAGTTACAGGGTGTTTTTGGTTCCGTAGCTTGTGTTCTCACTGACATGGTGTCTGAGGCTGGTTAACCTCAAGACAAAGCTCATTTTCAGGGCTGTGGGAATGCTGTGTGTTTTTCTCTGAGAACTGGCACTTGTAGGCAAGCAGCAATGGCTCCTTGAACTTTGATCTTCCTCTTTGAGTGCGAAGAGCTCTCATAGGGCGTGTCAACTGATAAACTAATAAATATCTTTCTTTACATGGGGCCTCGAGACAGAAATCTATATGTCAGGTATGTTGCAATTGAGTAGTCTTACCTGTGTGAAATACATTAGGCTTACACAAATTTGCATGAACAGTAGTACAAATAAATAGTAAACTTCAGAAACATCAGTGCAGTCTTCTTGTTAGAAATACACTTAGTTATGTGCAGATTATTGTTTATTAGTGTTTTTAGCTTATTTTTTATTGTTATTTGTTTGTTAAAGCTACCCAAAAAGGCAGTGCAAGTTATGCTAGAGGAGCATATGCACCAGTTTAAGGGGTTTTCCACAAGCTGGCAACCCAACAGTTGTTGATATTAATGTCTTATCTGACCTTTTAATAGATGATTTAATCCATAAACCCATATTTACAACCTTTAAAACCTTTCTTAAGTTTGACTTATTAGAGAAGAGTTAGACAGACCAGAACTCATTATTCATATTTTTGTGTTTTGCTCATCCACACTGGAGACTGTAGCGCATCTCATGCAGCACAGGCCTCAACTGTGGTAATGACAGCACTGTGTTGTGTGTGTCTGTGTACTTCTTCTCAGATCATTGTCAGGCCAGAGGACCAACTCAAGGAACACCCAAACTGATACAGTATCCCAGCACTGTTATAGTGGCGATGAGAGTGCAGTTTTAAATAGGATAGCCTTCCCCCAGCCCCCTTTACTCCTCCCCCCCGCCCC